CGCAGTTTCAGCTGGACTAACCTCGCAGAGCCATCCAAAGTCCATAAAGCCCAATGCAAAAACGCTTCCTACTGCTAGTACTACTACTACTACTACTACTACTACTACTACTCCTGCTGCTACTACTACTGCTACTACTACTACTACTACTACTACTACTCCTGCTGCTACTACTACTACTACTACTACTACTCCTGCTGCCTGCTGCTGCTACGACTACTAGTACTGCTACTACTGCTGCTACAACGACGACGACGACGACTACTACTACAATTACTACCACTACTACTACTACTACTACTACTACTACTACTACTACTGCTACTGCTACTACTACTACTACTACTACTACTACTACTACTACCACCACTATTACCGGTCGGACTACTCCCTCTTCTTCTTGTTCTGCCTCTGCATTCTGCTGCTCCAGCCTTCGCCGCTGCTGTTGCTTCTGCTGCATCCGCTTCTGCCATTCTTCCGACTACAATTTTTCAAGTGCGGTGATTACGATTACACTTGCGGCGACGACAACTACTACAATCACCGTGCCTGAGCATCCTTCATGGACGTTCACCCTCCTGCTCCTTCTACATTCGCCCTTCACCACAGGAATTCGGGATTTCGAGATGAACCTTTCCGGTGTTTAGAGCTGCTGAAGATCCCGCAATCCCTAAACCCTAAACCCTGAAGCCTTCATCCCAGGTATCCACATAAAGCACCGCGATGGCCGATACGAGCGCATCCCCGTGTTCTCCCTCAAGGCCTGGAGCAACATGTCAACCACTTCTGAGAGGTCGGAGAACGTCGGGGGACTCTACATTCTTGCATGAGTCAAGGGGAGTTGAATGTCCTTAAACCCAGAACCCTAAAACCCTAAACCCTAAACCCTAAACCCTAAACCCCTAAACCCTAAACCCTAAAACCCTAAAACCCTAAACCCAGAACCCTAAAGCCCTAAAGCCCCAAACCAAAAAAACACAAAACCCTAAACCCAGAACCCTACGACCCTAAAGCCCTAAACCTTCGGAACCCTAGGCCCGGTGCAGGGTCTCAGCTTCCCGGCTTCAGTTTTTTTTTTTTTTGGTGGGTTTTGGGTTTAGGGTTTTTAGCGTTTAGGGTTTTCGGGTTTAGGGTTTAGGGTTTGTTTTTGCCGTTGCTTTGCTTTGTTTCATTGTCTAGCCTTCTTTCATGTCCTGAAGAATCGTGGAAGCTAGCAATCAGGTCATAAGTGCGGCTGCAAGAGGCCAGCCGTAGATCGCGAAGGGAGTTCAAGTACACCCCTAAACCCTAAACCCTAAACCCTAAACCCCTAATCCCCTAAACCCCTAAACCTACACCTTGAACCCGTTCGGGTTCTCCTGGCACTTCTGTAGCCTATCTGCCACGACCGGATAGTTGAAGCATAGGATATGATGGATAGCGATAGGCTGTAGAGATAATATATAATATAGAGGTGTTAATCTTATTGAGCCGGATTCCTGTAATGGGTTAAGACTGTTTAAGAAGACTTCCTTAACCCTAAACCCTAAATCCATGTCAGTAGTGGGGTTTGACTGGCTTGAAATCACGGGTCGGGGTGTACCCAAAACGGCCCAAGACCCTAAACTTCTGAGCTCCTAAACCCTAAGCCCTAATATAGGAGCCTCAACCCTAAACCCTAACCCTAAACCCTAAACCCTAAACCCTAAACCCTAAACCCAAAACCTAAACCCTAAACCCTAAACCCTAAACCCTAAACCCTAAACCGATTATAGGAGCCTCAACAATTACCAATAGCATCCCTTTGGGCCCCTTATTCTGACTAGAGTCTTAAGGAGCCCAAAGCCCTATTCCAGTTATGAAGGCCCCTGCAGTAGGCTTGAGGGTTGGGGAGCTCTGGGTTCGGGTTTGGGCTTGGCAGCTGGGAGTTAGGTTTAGGGTTTAGGGTTTAGGGTTTAGGGGTTTGGGTTTAGGGTTTAGGGTTTACGGCTTTGGATTTAGGGTTTAGGGTTTAGGGGTTTCGAAGGAATCTAAACCCTAAAGCCCTAGCCCTTAAACCCTAAACCCTGATTCCTAAATCCTAAACCCTGAGCCCTAAACCCTAACCGCCCCACCTCCTAGCACCTTGAACACCGAGACTAAACTCCCAAACCCTTGAAGCGTAAGCCCTTACACCCTGAACGCTCAAACCCGAAGAATTGGCTGTAATGACCTTCGGGAACCTCTTGTAAACACAGTACAAACACCTGATGGGTACACCTTAATCCCTACACCGCTCCGCCCCTCAAGTGTTATTTCTGCGAAAATCCCAATTCGATCCCACAACCCTTATAAAAAGCTCACAAAGCCCTGAGCCCAAACCTGTCATTTCAGCAAAACCTAAAGAGTAAGACCCCAAATCCCAAGCACCACTGCGGCCCTGAACCCTAAACCTCAAGCCATAAACCCTACACCGTAAACCCTAACCTCAACCCTAAATCCCAAACATTCCCCTCACAGCCAAGCCCGACAGCTACAACCCGGACGAGGAGCCTCTAACCCCTAAGACCCTAAGCCCTAAAACCCTAAACCCCAAAATTCTAAACCCTAAGACCCTAAACCCTAAAACCCTAAAACCCTAAACCCTAAGCCCTAAAACCCTAAACCCCTGAAACCCCTCACAACCCCGACGAGGAGCCCCATACTTGCACCGGGGTCATTGCCAAGTCCTGCTCCTCGATTGCCTGTCGCGGTTTGGGGGTCTTCGGGGCCTCCTCTAAGGGATCCGGGTTCCTGTAAGGGTAGCAATACGCGATCTATGAAGGTTCCCTTAAGGGACTTGTAAGGCTTTAGGGTTTGGGGTTTTGGGATTAGCATATCTTAGAGCTTAAGAGCTAGACGCTTAAACGCTTACAGTTCGCTTGGGGGTTCGGTTTAGGGTCGAGGCACGGTGCAGAAGTACCCTGAACCCTGATCCCCCAAACCCGAGACCCTAAACCCTAATCCCCCAAATCCTAGACCCTAGACCCTAAACCCTAAACCCTAATCTCCCAAACCCTAAACCCTAGACCCTAAACCCTAGACCCTAAACCCTAAGCCCCTGCCGAACCTGTGCCTGAATTCAGGGCCTCTTGTGAGGGATCCCTCTCTGACATTAGGGTTCTGGGTTTGGGTTTTGAGGCATCATCCTGAATCCCTTGACAATCGGTTGCTGAGTAGCTTGGGTTCCTGTGTGGGTGACCCTCAAGGGGATCCCAACTCAGAGAACTACGAACACATGCTATACCCTTGAGCACTTCCCCATTCTCCCCAAAGACAAAAATCCACAAGAAAAAGCGAACATGACACCTAAACCCTAAACCCAAAGTAGCCGCTAGTTGGCTACCTGTAGTGCTGGGAAGGTTATGCGTGCTTCGACTATGCGCCCTGGACTTGATCCGGGCTTTGGGTGCGGGTACAGTATTTGTGGGTTCGGGGCTAGAGTGTAGTGTAAGGATTAAGGTTTGACCGTGCATGGAGCTTAGGGTCCAGGGTTTAGCATGGCATTGAGTGTTTTAATGTTTTGGTTTAGCGAGTGTCCCCGAATTTTGGTATCTTGGTGTTTGTGGGTTGCAGGGCTTTCAGGGTTTTGGTTTGAGCAGGTGCAGGGTATTAGGGGTAAGTGTTGGGGGGTTTGGGGCCGGAATCAAGCTCCAACTTACGACTATCATGCGCCGTCCTAATCCCCAATACCCTACAACCAGACCACAGAAGAATCCAAAAAGTCCTACAGCCCCTGAAGCCAAGCCCTAAACCCTAAACCCTAATCTCTTAACCCTAAACCCTAATCCGTAAACCCTAAACCCTAAACCCTAAACTCTCCAAAACCCAGAAAGCCCCGGAGCTTACCTGGCCCACACCCTAAACCCTAAACCCCTAAACCCCCAAACCCTAAGCCCTAAACCCTAAACTCTGAACCCTAAACCCTAAACCCCAAGACCATGACGCGAACAGTCCGGGTCTGGGCATTGAAAACCGACCCGGAACTTTAAAATCTGCCACCCCGAACCCCAAGCCCTGAACCCTGAACCCTAAACCGTGGCCTCAACCCTGAACTCCAAACCCCAAACACAAGTTTCAGACTTTAAGCATTAACCCGCCCAATCTGAAACCTCAATCCCTACACCAAAATATCCCAACGCTGCGAGGTGAATGCCCTGACGGACCTTACCGTGGGCTACATGGCAGCTCCGTGGGAAGGCAACCCTCGGGCTCCTACTCTTCAACGGCCCACCCCTCAAGCCTAAACGGCGTAGGGTTTAGGGTTTAGGGATTTAGGGGTTCAGCGGTTTAGGGTTTAGGGTTTAGGGACCCTTCACAACCTAACAGCCCTGCAGCCGGCGTTCCTGTGCCTTGACATCTCTCGCTTGGTAGGTGGCAAGATGACGGAGCACAGCCAGTACTGCGTCATCCGAAATGCGCGTGGCCAAGAGATGGTCGAGGCTCGATACCCGGAAAGGTTGCTAGGGCTTCTTTGTTTAGCTATAGGGTTTGTAATGGGTTTAGGCTTGAGGGATTGCGGGTTCCGGGGTTCAAGGTTTTGGGGTTTTGGGTTCAGGGCAAGGCTTAATGTTTACATGGCAAATTCCTCAAATTTCAATCGGACCCCACCCCACTCCACCCCACCCCAGCCCAAAAAAGTTCACAGTCACTTGTGCAATCCTGCAAAGTCCTTATACAACAAGCCCATTTTACACCCCAAGTTAGGGTCCATTTGGGGGTACCTTTTATAAGGATGCGTGCTATTTTGGGAGCCTGAAAAGAGACCCCTATCTTAGTTGAACTACCCACATAAAGTCCAAAACGAACCCCTAAACCCAAACCCTAAACCCTAAACCCTAAACCCTAACCCTAAACCCTAAACCCCAACCCTATACCCTAAACCCTGAACCCTAACCCTAACCCTAAACCTTAAACCCTAAACCCTAAACCCCAACCCTTTACCCCAAACCCTAAACCCTAAACCCTAAACCCTTTCAGAGGCTGTGAGTCATCTCGAGCTCGGCGACCCCGCCGAGCTCATGCGGCCGTCGCTGCTTTCACGCGAGGCCAATGTAAGAACAGCCTAGGGTGTAGGTTTAGGGTTTAGGGTTCAGGGTTCAGGGTTTAGGGTTTAGGGTTCAGGGTTTAGGGCTTAGGGTTTCTGCAGTACATAGGTAGTTCTCTATATTGATGTCTCTTTTTGGGGTCCTGGTTTTCAGGGTGCCGTACTACTTTGGGGAACCAAAAAAGGGACCCTAATTTAGAGAACTACCCTAATCCATAGGGTTCAAGTACCCGTAGAACCCAATACACCTTAATTGAGGAACATACCTTAAATTACAGGGGCCTTATTATTATTATTATTATTATTATTAAAGGTATATTTCTTAATTAAGTGGTATTGGGTTCTCTGGGTATGGAACTTTGAGAGGTTTTGTTTACAGCACCCAGGATGGTCTCGCAAGAGGGCTGAGTGGCTTTAACGGACCCTCGAAAGGATTCACGACATCTGTTCATTGAAACAGGTCTTACGGTCTTAAGCGTTTTTTTCTTTTCAGTGACTGTAGGGTGTAGAGCCTAGAGTTCAGGGTTGTTGCATAATCCAAGGCGCCGCGAGTAACGTCCCTACTATAGGGGCCTTAACAATTAGAATAGCGTTTGGGGGTATATTATACTCTAACCACAATAAGAAACCCCCAAAACTCTACTCTAATTATTACGGCCCCTACACTACATGATTTTGTAGCATAGCTCCCAGCCGCGACTGTAGTCCACCAAGGCACAGACTCCACCTGCAGAAGATTTACTGCTCAAGTTTAGGGCGAAGAGCTGAGGGCCCTAAAACTTTAAACCCTAAACCTCAGCCCTAAACCCTCAGCCTAAACCCCTAAAGCCCTAAACCCTGCGGCCTAAGCCGTAAAGCTCCAAACCCTAAATCCTTCAACCCTAGCCCCAATCATCAGTTGTAACACCACTGCAGCGGCTAGCGGATAGCCGGCTCAAAGTGAGGGTTCGGCCCCTGTTTCCCAGTGTGACGTCCTCATCCCCAGAGACAATGCAAGGGAATCCCTAAGATTAGAAATTAATTTGGTTTAGAAGTTGACTCCCTCCGATGCAGGGCGTGGTGCCTGGCGTCCTGAAACCAGAGTTGGACCTCGCACGCTGGCAGCAGCAGGAGTAGTCGTTATCGTTGTTGTTGTGGTGAATTGTGGTGGTGGTGGTCGACGTGGAAGTCAGAGGGTATTAGCAGATTGTAGTGCCTGCAGCGAGGCTCTGCGAGAAGAACCTTTGCTACAAATTGCAAACTACCCCCCAAATCTTCTCGAACATGCCTGCATCTACCCTAAAGCCAAGACCCTAAGCCCTTAGCTCCCTAAACTCTTTAAGCTCCCTAAGCTCCCTGACGTGATACTGTTGCCTAAGCTTTCTTATTCCAAGTTAAGAATATGAATAACATTATAGTGTCAATAATAGTAATAGTAATACTCCTAGAAACCGATTAAGGGGATCCCTATTCTCAGTGTTAAGGCCCGCTTGTTTTGCTTCCAAGGCCTTCGGCCAGCGGCAGCCCAGGGACGGCCCTCCCAGGTGGTTGGCGGAGGCAGTCGGGAGCAGCCACAGGGTGTAGGGGTTTAGAGGTTTAGGGGTTTAGGGGTTTAGATTTAGGGTTTAGGGTCTGGGGTTTGGGTGTTTAGAGTTTAGGGGTTTATGGGTTTAGGGTTTAGGGGTTCGGGTTTAGCAGAAGGGTGTTTAAACCCTAAACCCCAGACCTTAAATCCGACAGTCCTAGCGCTCAGCCTTAAACGCCCTACAGAAACCAAAAACCATGTACGTACTTTACATGTAGAGCAGGGTTCTTGAGCTCTTTATGTGTCTTGAGGTATTTTGCTTGTTTTTTTCAGGGCGGGTTTTGGAGCCTCTATGTCTTAGTGCCTTGTTTTTAAAGGACCCGGGAGGGCAATCTGGGCTGTTTATAAAGGGGAGTCGACAAGGGTCTTATCTTATCAGCCTCGGCTTGCAAACCTTACTTATTTGAAAAGTGCTTGGCTTGGCGGTTTGGGCCCCAGTGACCCTAAACCCTAAACCCTAAACGTATAGCGCTTCATCCTTGTTACAAGGCATATCGAGGCAGAGGGTTGATCGATTAGTTTTTAGATTGGGAACACATGGGTAGTTCTCTAAATGGGGTCCCTTTTAGGTCCCCAATATAGTACGGCACCCCTGTAAAAAGGACCCCAAAATGGACCCTAATTTAGACAACTGCCCGCATACAAGGCACCTCTACAGTCTCTAAAGTCAAGTCTTTGTTCCTTCTCTTCTGCGCGCGAGGTTTTACAGGCAACCGATGCCGGGTTTTCCTTGTTACCAGATTAAGGGGTCGTTGAAACTTGGAGCCACTTCAACAACTGTCTCCTTAGCGTTCCTTCTTATTTTTGCAATACTAAAAAGACCCCCAAACCCTACTCTAATTTTTGACGGCCCCTATAGTAAACCCTAAACCCTAAACTCCCTAAGCCCTAACCCCTAAGCCCTAAACTCCTAAACCCTAAACCCCCAAGCCCTAAACCCAAAGCCCCAGTCTAATTATGAAGGCCCCTATACTACAGCATCCAGACACCCGGGTCCCGTAGCTTTCTATGGCAAACCAGCTTGAAGCTCCTGCAGGAGCTAAAGTTTTTAGGGTGTAAGTTTCGGTTTTTTGGGGTACGTTTAGGGTTTTGGGGGTTTTAGGGTTTAGGAGCTAAGGGTTTTGGGTTTTTTAGGTTTCGGGTTTTAACTATAGCGTTTAGGATATCTTTGACGCCATGCCACCTGATTTTATCCACGTGACGCTGCTAAGCGGGAGGGCCGTGCAGATCCCTGTCGCTGAATCTGCAAGTGGGATTGTGTTTGTTACCTTTTGGGTTCTGTAATACCTTTGAATGTGTATTTCTCTAAATTAGGGTCCCTTTTTAGGTCCCCAATATAGTACGGCACCCTTGTAACAAGGACCCGAAAAGGGACACTACTTAAGAAGGCTTACCTAATATAGCACGAATAATACTTCACCATCCGAAAAAAACCCCGTCAACTCCTGGAGGGTCATTTTGAGGGAACCCGGGTCCAAAGAACGGGGTTTAGGGTGTAGGATTTAGGTTTAAGATTTAGGGTTTAGGGTTTAGGGTTTAGGGTTTAGGGTTTAGGGTTTAGGGTTTAGGGTTTAGGGTTTAGGGTTTAGGGGAACCCAGGTCCAAAGGACGGACACCCTGAAGACGGTGAAGTTGCGGGCCCAAAAGGAGCTGCAGGCTGGTCGAGGGGTCCTGCGAGATTCCGGAGGGCAAATCCTGGACGAGCGCACCTCAGTCGGTGAGGTCGGCCTGCAGCCAGGAGACTCTTTGACACTGCAGGTGCGGCAGACACTGGTGGCAAGCCATAAAGAGGGGGTTACATTTTCAGCCATAATGGGAGATGGCTCCGTGGTCTGTTGGGGTGGCGGGGATTTTGGCCCTGAGCGCAAAACTGTGAAGGAGCAGCTCAGACACAGGCAAGTGCAGCAAATCAAGGCTGGCGCGAGGGCCTTTGCTGCTCTCTTGGATGATAGATCCATTGTGACCTGGGGTGATCAGGGGTGGGGTGGCAACAGCAGAAGCGTACAGGAGCAGCTCAAGAACGTGCGGCACCTCCAGGCTACTCGCGATGCGTTTGCTGCTGTTTTGGACAACGGATCTGTAATCACTTGGGGGCGGCCTGAATGTGGTGGTGACAGCAGCGGTGTAGCGGGGCAGCTCAAAAACGTGCACGACATTCAGGCTTCTGTTGCTGCATTTGCTGCTGTTCTGGACAACGGATCTGTGATAACTTGGGGGGATCCTGAATGTGGTGGTGACAGCAGCCATGTAGCCGGACAGCTGAAGAATGTCAAGCACATCCAAGCCGGTGAATGTGCGTTTGCTGCTGTTCTGGACAACGGATCGGTGATAGCCTGGGGCCATCCGGAGTATGGTGGTGACAGCAGCCTTGTAGCAGACAAGCTCAAGCACGTACGGCACATTCAGACAACTGGCTGGGCATTTGCTGCCATTCTAGAAGACGGATCTGTGATCACCTGGGGGCGTCCTGATTGTGGTGGTGACAGCAGCCGTGTAGCACGGCAGCTCAAAAACGTGAAGCACGTCCAGGCTACTGCCTTCGCATTTGCTTCCATTTTGGACGATGGATCCGTGATCACTTGGGGGCATCCTGACAATGGTGGTGACAGCAGCTGTGTGGCCGGGCAGCTGAAGAATGTCAAGCAGATCCAAGCCGGTGAAAGTGCATTTGCTGCTGTTCTGGACAACGGTTCCGTAATCACTTGGGGGCATCCTGAAAACGGTGGTGACAGCAGCCGGGTAGCCGGGCAGCTCAAAAACGTGCAGCAGATTCAAGCTGCCGGGTATGCATTCGCTGCTGTTCTGGACAACGGATCCGTGATATCCTGGGGGCATCCTGACAATGGTGGTGACAGCAGCCGAGTGGCAGGACAGCTTAAAAACGTGCAGCACATCCAGGCCGCTGGACATGCCTTTGCTGCTGTGCTGGACAACGGATCCGTGATTCCCTGGGGGCGTGCTGCCTATGGTGGTGACAGCCGCCATGTGGCCGGGCCGCTCACAAATGCGATGCACTATCAGCTGTCGACACAAGCCAAGGCTGTTGCTTTTTGCAGCGGATGCGTGGTGACCTAAGGTGCTTCGGCTTGTTGTGGCGAAAGCAGCTCTGTAGATCCAGTCGGCCGCCAATGGTTGTGTCTTCATGTGCTGGACAAAGCATCCACGGTGACCTCGGGGCAACTGCTTTTTGGAAGCGTCATCAGCACCATCCACAGCCAACCAACCCCGAAATAGTCTCGTCACTGTGGTACTTGTGGTTACCAGTAGTGTCGTTAGTATTGCATTGTGTGGGTACTAGTGTCGTTATATGTTGTTATAATTAGGAAATAAGAACTTTCCCATGATCATTGGCACTATTGCTATTGTTGTTGTGCAGACCCCGATTGTCAAACTCATGGTTCTTGTCACTTCTGTTGAAATATTGTTAACACTGCTGGTAGCTTTGTTATAATTATTGTATATGACTGTTATTACTCCCGTTATCATTGTTGTTCTTCTCGCTATCATTCTTCTTATTCTTGTCTTTTCTTGCCTCTTCTTCTTCTTGTTGCTAGCTAGCCATAGCGCTTGGCAGGACCAGCTTCGGTGGCAACCCTTATCAGCGTGCCTACTTGGAGGTTCATGGCACTTAGCAACCAAACGGTTTAGGGTTCAGGGTTTACGGTTTAAGTTAAAAGGCCCTTCCGGTGTAGTTGCCAAGTAGAAAGGCAGTCATAACGAGTTACTGTGTGCCATGATTCTTTAAGTACTTCATTGTCATTTACGGGACCCCTAACTTAAAGCCTCTGCCCTGGCAAAAAAACGCAAGTCATTGTAGCATGCGTTCTTTTGCCGGTGTGGTGCTTGTTGAACAGTATAGCTAGAGACTAGTGGTAGGTGGTTGACAGTGTCGAAGAGGATACTGTCAGTTAGTTGGTGTCCCTGTCGTAGTTGTTTTTCATGATTTTAATATTTGTTTTCGTTGGTTGCGCGTTGTTATTGTGGCTTCCTTAATGCTGCTACTCAAGAGACTAAACATACACCTTCAACCCCAAACGCTCAACCCAAGCGTTTCTGAAATCCAGCTTAGACGGGGCCCTCTATCTCGGATATGATTGATTCAAGTTGCCATAGTAGAGGCAGCTGACCACTCGCTTTTTATCTTTGCCATGGCTCAAACTAGGTTCCTTTAGCTGTTGATAAAATTTGGTAGCAGACCCCGACACCATACAAAATGAGAGCCCAGCATAAATCCAGCAAAAGACCCAGTAAATCTACAAAACAAGAGACCGGAGCACTTGAACCCTATAGATCCTAAACCCTAAACCCTGAGCGCAAAATCCAGCTCGAAGCCCAGAAAGTCTACAAAATAAAAGCCCTAAGCCCTAAGCCCTAA